AAAAAAGATGAAATCATCAAAGACCAGAACACCTCTTTTCCTTCAAGGGATCACAACTCCTCAATAACATGGGGACACAATATGACTGAGAAAGAGTGGGACAAATTGACAGAAACAGGCTTCAGCAGGTGGATAATAACAAACTTTTCTGAGCTAAAGAACACATTCTAACTCAATGCAAAGAAACAAAAAACCTTGAAAAAAGGTTAGATGAAATGCTAACTAGAATAACCAGTTTAGAGAAGAATATAAACGACTTGATGGAGCTGAAAAACACAGCACGAGAACTGTGTGAAGCAAACACAAGTTTTAACAGCCAAATCGATCAAGCAGAAGAAAGGATACCAGAGATTGAAGATCAACTCAATGAAATAAAAAGAGAAGGCAAGACAAGAGAGAAAAGAGTGAAAAGAAATGAACAAAGCCTCCAAGAAATATGGGATTATGTAAAAAGACCTAATCTATGCTTGATCGGTGTACCTGAATATGATGGGGAGAATGAATCCAAGCTGGAAAACACTCTTCAGGATATTATCCGGGAGAACTTCCCATGCCTAGCAAGGCAGCCCAGCATTCAAATCCAAGAAATACAAAGAACTCCACAAAGACATTCCTCAAGAAGAGCAACCCCAAGGCACATAATTGTCAGATTTACCAGGGTTGAAATGAAGTAAAAAATGCTAAGGGCAGCCAGAGAGAATGTCAGGTCCTTCCCACAGAGGGAAGCCAATCAGACTCATAGCAGATCTCTCGGCAGAAACTCTACAAGCCACAAGAGATTGGGGGCCAATATTCAACATCCTTAAAGAAAAGAACTTCCAACCCAGAATCTCATATCCAGCCAAACTAAGCTTCATAAGTGAAAGAGAAATAAAATCCTTTATGGAAAAGCAATTACTGAGGGATTTTGTCACCACCAGACTTGCTCTACAAGAGCTCCTGAAAGAAACACTAAGCACGGAAAGGAATGAATACCAGCCACTGCAAAAGCACACCAAATGGCAAAGACAAAAAATGCAATGAAGAAAATGAGCCAACTAATGGGCAAGAAAACCAACCAGTAACAAAATGGCAGAATCAAATTCACACATAACAATATTAACATTGAATGTAAATGGCCTAAACGCCCCAATCAAAAGACACAGACTGGCAAACTGGATAAAAATTCAAGACCCATCGGTGTGCTATAATCAGAAAACCCACCTCACATACAAAGACACACATAGACTCAAAATAAAGGGATGGAAGAAGATTTACCAAGCAAATGAACAACAACAACAAAAAAAGCAGGGGTTGCAATCCTAGTTTCTGATAAAATGGACTTCAAACCAACAAAGACCAAAAGAGACAAAGAAGGGCATTACATAATGGTAAAAGGATCAATCCAGCAAGAGCTAACTATCCTAAATATATATGCACCCAACACAGGAGCACCCAGATACATAAAGCAAGTTCTTAATGACCTAAAACGAGATTTAGACTCCCACACAATAATAGTGGGAGACTTCAACACTTCACTGTCAGTATTAGACAGATCAACAAGACAGAAAATTAACAAGGACATCTAGGACTTGATGATGGACCAAGCGGACCTAATAGACATATACAGAATGCTCCACCCCAAATCCACAGAATATACATTTTTCTCAGCACTACATCACACTCACTCTAAAATTGACCGCATAATTTGAAGCAAATCACTCCTCAGCAAATGCAAAAGGATGGAAATCACAACAGTCTATCAGACCACAGCACAATCAGATTGGAACTCAGGATTAAGAAACACACTCAAATCTGCACCACCACTTGGAAACTGAACAACTTGCTTCTGAGTGTCGACTGGATAAACAATGAAATGAAGGTAGAAATAAAGATGTTCTTTGAAACCAATCAGAATGAAGACACAACTTACCAGAATCTCTGGGACACCTTTAAAGCGGTGTCAAGAGGGAAATTTATAGCAGTAAATGCCCACATGAGAAACAAGGAAAGATCTAAAACTGACAACCTATAATCACAATTGAAAGAGCTAGAGGAGGAAGATCAAAAGAACTCAAAAGCTAGCAGAAGACAAGAAATAACTAAGGTCAGAGCTGAACTGGAGGATATAGAGACACAAAAACCCCTTCAAAAAATAAATAAATCCAGGAGCTGGTTTTTTGAAAATATCAACAAAATAGACAGACTGCTAGCCAGACTAATAAAAAAGAAAAGACAGAAGAATCAAATAGATACAATAAAAAAAGATAGAAGGGATATCACCACTGATCCCATAGAAATACAAACTACCATCAGAGATTACAACAAACAGTTTTATGCACATAAATCAGTAAACCAGGAAGAAATGGATAAATTCCTGGACACTTGTACTCTACCAAGACTAAACCAGGAGGAAGTTGAAACCCCGAATAGACCAATAACAAGGGCTGAAGTTGAGGCAGCAATCAATAGCCTACTAACCAAAAAAAGTCCAGGTCCAGATGGGTTCACAGCCGAATTCTACCAGACGTACAAAGAGGAGTTGGTTCCATTCCTTCTGAAAATATATCAAACAATACAAAAAGAGGGAATCCTCCCTAACTCATTTTATGAGACCAACATTATCCTGATACCAAAACCAGGCAGAGACTCAACTGAAAAAGAAAACTTCAGGCCAATATCCACAATGAATATTGACACAAAAATCTTCAATAAAATACTGGCAAACTGAATGCAACAGTACATCAAAAAGCTTATTCATCACGATCAAGTAGGCTTCATCCTGAGGATGCAAGGCTGATTCAACATACACGAGTCCATAAACGTAATCCATCACATAAACAGAGCTAAAGACAAAAACCACATAATTATCTCAATAGATGCAGAGAAGGCCTTCAACAAAATTCAACAGCCCTTCATGCTAAAAACTCTCAATAAACTAGGTATTGATGGAATGTATCATAAAATGATAAAAGCTATTTATGACAAACCTACAGCCACTATCATACTGAATGGGCAAAAGCTCAAGAATTCCCTTTGAAATCAGGCACTAGACAAGGATGCCATCTCTCACCACTCCTATTCAATATAGTATTGGAACTTCTAGCCAGAGCAATCAGGCAAGAAAAAGAAATAAAAGATATTCAATTAGGAAAGGAGGAAGTCAACTGCCTCTATTTGCAGACGACATGATTCTATATTTAGAAGACCCCATCGTCTCAGCTCAAAATCTTCTCAAACTAATAAGCAACTTCAGCAAGGTCTCAGGATACAAAATCAATGTGCAGAAATCACAAGCATTCCTATATACCAATAACAGACGGAGAGTCAAATCAGGAGCAAACTCCCGTTCACAATTGCTACAAAGAGAATAAAATACCTAGGAATAAAACTAACAAAGGATGTAAAGGACCTCTTCAAGGAAAACTACAAACCACTGCTCAATGAAATAAGAGAGGACACAAACAGATGGAAAAACATTCCATGCTCATGGTTAGGAAGAATCAATATTGTGAAAATGGCCATACTGCCCAGTCATTTATAGATTCAACAGTATCCCCATCAAGCTACCAATGACCTTCTTCACAGAACTGGAAAAAAACACTTTAAACTTCATATGGAACCAAAAAAGAGCCCACATAGCCAAGCCAATCTTAAGCAAAAAGAACAAAGCCAGAGGCATCACACTGCTGGACTTCAAACTATGCTGCAAGGCTACGGTAATCAAAACAGTATGGTACTGGCACCAAAAGAGAGATATAGACCAATGGAACAGAACAGAGGCCTCAGAAGCAATATCATGCATCTACAACCATCTGATCTTTGAGAAACTTGTCAAAAACAAGCAATGGAGAAAGGACTCCATGTTTAATAAATGGCGTTGGGAAAACTGGCTAGCAATGTGCAGAAAGCAGAAACTGGACCCCTTCCTGTCACTTTACACTAAAATTAACTCCAGATGGATTAAAGATTTAAACATAAAACCTAACACCATAAAAACACTAGAATAAAATGTAGGCAAAACCATCCAGGACATAGGCATAGGCAAGGACTTCATGACTAAAACACCAAAAGCAATGACAACAAAAGTCAAGGTAGACAAATGGGATCTAATTAAACTTCAAAGTTTCTGTACAGCAAAAGAAACCATCATTAAAGTGAACCGGCAACCAACAGAATGGGCAAATATTTTTGCAGTCTACCCATCTGACAAAGGGCTAATATCCAGAATCTACAAAGAACTAAAACAGATATACAAGAAAAAAACCCCATTCAAAAGTGGGCAAAGGTTATGAACAGACACTTTTCAAAAGAAGACATATATGAGGCCAACAAATATATGAAAAAATGTTCATCATCGCTGGTCATTAGAGAAATGCAAATCAAAACCACATTGAGATGCCATCTCACGCCAGTTAGAATGGCAAACCTTAAAAAATCTGGAGACAACAGATGCTAGAGAGGACGTGGAGAAATAGGAACACTCTTACACAGTTGGCGGGAGTGTAAATTAGTTCAACCATTGTGGAAGACAATGTGGTGATTTTTCAAGGATCTAGAAATAGAAATTCCATTTGACCCAGCAATCCCATTATGGGTATATGCCCAAACAACTATAAATCGTTCTGCTATAAAGACACATACACATGTATGTTCATTGCAGCTGTACATACAACAGCAAAGACCTGGAACCAACCCAAATGCCCATCAATGATAGACTGGACAAAGAAAATGTGGCACATATACACCATGGAATACTACACAGCCACAAAAAATGATGAGTTCAAGTCCTTTTTAGGGACTTGGATGAATCTGGAAACCATCATTCTCAGCAAACTGACACAAGAACAGAAAACCAAACACCACATGTTCTCACTCATAGGTGGGTGTTGAACAATGAGAACACATGGACTCAGGGAGAGGAGCATCACACACTGGGGGCAGTTGGCAGGGGTTGGGAGCAGCTAGGGGAGGGACAGTGGGGGATGGGGAGGGATAGCATGGGGAGAAATGACGGATATAATCAAAGGGGGAATAGAGGCAGCAAACCACCTGGTTATGTATGCACCTATGCAACAACCCTACATGACCTGCACATGTACTCCAGAATCTAAAGTTAAAAAAAAAAAAGGATCCTCATCTTATTGTTTCTACCAATCCTGTACTGTTTGATTGTGATCTTTGCTTAATCATAGCCCAGCCCCTGCTTTGAAAGACCTACCTTCAAACAAACTTCTCAATAAGTCCTAAAGTTGCCTTAAAATACTCCCAAAGTTTTGTCAAAGGGGCTATTTACGTTTAAATTAATAAAAATTAAATGATAAATAGAAATTACAGTCCTTCACTCTCACTTGTCTCAGGTCAGGTGCTCAATTATCACACATGCCTAGTGGCTATCCATGTTGGACAGGGACAGAGAACATTCCACCATCATAGGAAATGCTGCTTTATAGGCTTTTGCCTCAATGTAAGTAGTCAACTGAGAAGCATTCAGTTTCTTGTTATAAGCTTAGCTTCTTATTAATACAGGTTAAATATTTTATAGCACAATGTGCTTTTATACTTAAGTAGCTTGAATGATAGTTTTCATTTAATTAATGCAAATTTTTCTTCTTAAAGGGAAAAATCACATTAAATTTTTTATTTCAAAAGATAGAGTTTTTATTCTTTCTCATTCCTCAGTTTGTTTGTCCTTTCCTCTCTGAATTTCTTTCTGAGGTGTTTATTAAAAAGTACTGAGATGGGCTTTATTTCCAGAAATTCCAATTCTATTGGTCTGTGTATGAGAGCACACACATCAGTATTCTTTTTAAAAAAACTAACCAAACAAAGCAAAAACCAATACTGCATTTAGTGCTAACATGTGGCTCCTGCTGAGAGCTGTTAGGTGGACAATGTCTTCAGCTCTGGGCTTCTAGCATGCCTATTGAATTGACAAGGAAGCTGAAGCCAGAGAGGGCTCCTGACTCACACAAAGTCACAGTCAGTCAGTCAGGCTGACACTAGATCCAGGGTCCCTCATTCAGAGACTGCTTTCCCACTACCCATCCAGCCCCTGGGGTTGGATGGGGTCCACTGGAATATGGGGAAGATGCCATTACCCTCTCCTTAATACTCAGGTTGCAAGAAAGCAAGGAAGGTGAACTGGGGAGAAGGACAGCCTGGCTGAGAGAGAGCCTCTCCTATTCTCCATCACCACCTCCTTCTTCCCTGGACATTTCTACCCAGACTAATGTGACTCAGGTCTGCTCCTGCCCCACCCTCCCCTTTCTCTCACTCCCTCAACCTCTCAGCACACTGACTGGGGAACAACCGGCTCAGTGTCCAAATCCAGGGCCCAGAGGCTGGGAAATCATATGACATTTGTCCCATTTTTATTGTTGACTGTGGACCAGGAGTGGAGACATCAGCAGTTGACTTGGGTGGAGGTTGGGTCATGGTTCTTGGGCTGATATACAGTGGGCTCAGGGCCTTAGTGGGTAGTAAGAACTGTGGGAGTCTGAGGCATGTTCTGGGTAGGATTCACATTGGAGGCAGGAGTACCTAAGAGACCTGTGAAAAGGCACATTGGATGAATGGATGGATGGATAAGCGGGTGATTTAATAGATAAGTTATTTGGAACTAGGTGGATGGATGAATAGGTGGGTGGATAAATAGATGGAAGAAGAGACGGATGAGCGGGAGAATGGATAGGATGTAGGAAGAATAAGCGATAAGCGGATGAAAAGATGGATGAGTGGGTGGATGGGTAAGTGTTAGGGTAAATGGAGCTAAGGAAGGAAATAGACATGGCCAAGCAGCAGGGTTTTCTTTTGCTATAACCTGAGAATAGTGTGTGGTGAGCCTAGGCTAGAGTCAGGAAGGACAGAAGGAAAAGAGGGAGGGAGGAAAGGCAGAAAGAAGAAAAAAGAAATATTCAGGCTATTCACTTTATTGGAACTGCTATTCTTCACCAATCCATATGCCCCCAACTTCTTCAAGAATAAATTCTTGATTACTCTACCTCATATCATTCATTCTACCTTGCATTCACCTGTGCCTCTGGCATATTGCTTTATAGGTTAGCTTTTATTAATGTATTCTATATGTGCCTTGTTTTCTTAGGATTAAAATTCCCCTGGTGCTAGGAATTTAAACCTTCCCCCTCCTTTCCATCTTTCATTATTCTTCCATCCACCATATTTCTCTAATGCCACCTATCACCTTGCATCATAACCCTTCATCACATGCTGTTTCTCTAGCTCAGCTGTGGGCTCCTCCAGCTCAGGATGGGATCTCAAGGCTTTTGAGTCCCTATCCAGGGCCTAACCTAGCCCTGTGCCCTACCGGGAATGGGCAGTGAGCCAAAGCTTGGGCACTGAAGACAGAGAAGCTTATTGGGGTCCTCTAGGTGCCCATTTGACCAAGTGGCTGGGCACACTCAGCAGTAGGGAGGGGTCCTGACCAAGACAGAAAAAGGCAGGAGAGGTTGGCAACTCTAATTTCAGGAGGAGTGCCCAGGGGCCTCAGGCGCAGTGGTGACCCCTAACTTCTCATTTTGAAAGTTAATGACATTCAATTGATAGGGGCAGGTCCGGGGGGAGGACTCAGGGCCTCTGAGCCCCAGGCTGCTCTGCCTCCTAGCCTCACCCCCTAAGTCTCATGTCAGCCTCATTGCCTAGCTGTCTCCTGTGTCATATTTCTACACCCACCCCATTACTCAGTGGACTTTCTTGACTACAGCTGGGAGTTAGGGTCAGGGGTAGGTATGTCTGGAATGGACCATTAAGCCCTTTCTGCTTGAGCATGGGGAAGCTTTAATCTCATTCCAAATACATGGAGGAGTCCTGTTAGTAGCAGCAAAAATGTTAAGGGAAATACGTGTGATGTGGAAGGAAGAGCCAAAAGCCAGCAGGCCTGCGTTCTGGGCCTGGCTCTGCCCTTCAGCAGCGGTGACCTCGGGCCAAGGGATTTCTTCTCCATGCCCCCAGTTTTCAGCAATGAGAGGGTGGAAGGAGAAGATTTCTAGGATCCTCTCCAGCTCTGATGCCTTGTGATTCAGGAGGTCTGAGACCCACCAATAAGAAGGGACAGAACTCACCTTGAGATACCACCAGGCAGATGATTCTGATGAATGAGATCTCAGGGGATTGAGAGATTCCACACCCATAGAATCCCGAGGCCTCTTCTCTGAGCTCAGTCATGGTGACGGTGAAGTTGCCATAGAAGTGATCATCCTGGATGAAGTATCGAGGCTCCCATGCCACTGTCCTGGGACTGTCCCCTACTATGGCACATGTATTGGCTGATATTTTCCTGCACCAGCTTTCCACCTGTAAATGTTGGGAGGGCTGGTACTGGCGTTTTACAGAGGTTGTCTCACCCTTCAGGCTGGAAGCAACTTTGTGCACTGTGTTCACAATGGTCTCTCTGCCCATGCTCGTACCTTCTACAGTCCATCCTCATCAAGTGGCCACTACATACTTAAAAACAAGCTATGACACACCTCTCTTAGCTCTCTGATAGCTTCCTCCTGTACTTAGTATCACCCGAACTCTCCATCTCACAGGCTTCAGGGATGCTGGACTCCCGAGCCTAGTCAATCACTGTTCCATACTCAATATGGAGCCACTAAAAAAGCATTTTTTTTTTTTGAGACAGAATCTCACTCTGTTGCCCAAGTTGGAGTGAAATAGCGCAATCTCAGCTCACTGCAACCTCCGCCTCCTGGGTTCAAGTGATTCTCCTGCCTCAGCCTCCTGAGTAGCTGGGATTGCAGGCACACCACTACACCTGGCTAATTTTTGTATTTTTAGTAGAGATGGGGTTTCAACCATGTTGGCCAGGCTTGTTGTGAACTCCTGACCTCAAGTGATCTGCCTGCCTTGGCCTCCCACAGGGCCAATTACAGGTGTGAGCCACTGCGCCTGGCCAAATAAGCCTTTCTTATGCAAGCCAAGCTTTTTCTGACCTCAGAACCTTTGCACATGCAGCTCTTACCACAAAGTGCCCTTCAAAGCACCCAGATTTCAACAGGGTTGCAGAACGCTCACCATTCAGGGCTCTGCTTGGTGTCATGTGCTCAGGGAGGTGTTTTCTGATCTTCAGTACTTCCACCGCTCCCTCATTACTGAGTTACTTTCCAGTTCACCAGTGTTTTATTTTCTTACAAACATTTATTGTTATTTTCAATTGTTATAGAGCAAGATTGTGTCTGTATTTGCTCACTACTGTCTCCTTAGAGCCTAGAATAGTGCCTGCCACATAATAGGGGCTGAGTGGATTATGGTGAAGCAATGAGTGAATGAAACACAGCACAGACAGTCCCAAGGCTGAACCTCATCTCAGCCACCTGCTAGCTTTGGGACCCTGGACAAGCTCAGAGTCACATTGGGTTTTCAGGTCTCATTATCTTCATCTGTAAATGGTGACAATAGTGACGTGAATCATGCCATAAAGGCACTCTGAAAACACTACAGTGCCACGTGGCCACGGATGGGTTACTATCCGTATCATCTCTGATGTTAGTGGAGTGTGGGGCAGGGAGGACTCTGTCCACCTGTCCCAGTGCCCCTCCAGCCCACTCACCTGGAGACACATCCAGCTGGATGCCCAGCATGGGATACAGGGTCCCGGAGCTGTTGCGCATGCACCAGTATCGGCCAGAGTCCTGGAGCGTGAGGGCCGCCATGGTGATGTGGACCACCTTGGCCTGGGCATCGTCCTGCAGCAAGTAGCGGGGTCCCTTCACCCGGACTCGGGTGAAGCCAGGCTCACACTTCCTCCTCCTGACTTTGCACCAAACCTTGCCGTCCATGCGGTTTCTGTAGCCCTTGTAGGAGCACAGCACAGACAGAGTCTCCCCTTCAAGGAGCCTCATTTTTGTGTATGCACGCTCAGCGGGGGGGCCTGGGGAGACAAGGCTTGTGGAATAAGGTCTGGCAAGAGCAGAGGGAGAAGCATCATGAACGTTGAAGATCGTGGTGAAGGGTGACGTGGATATTGTCCTGCTGTCATGGAACCCACATGACTGAGGGGGAAATACAGCCCCACCCTCGGGGAGCTTGCCCCAGTCTGAAGGGTGGTTCACCAGCCCTGAAAACAGCTGGCACCCAGTATTATGGGGGAGATACAGGCCCCTCCCTCAGGGAGCTTTCAGTCTGTTGGAGGAGGCAGGTTTATCCCTCAGGGAGCCCCGGTCTAATGGAGGAAACGCAGCCCTGACCTCGGAGCCGCATCAGACACACCCTTTTCCTCATGGTATTCTCTAGTCTGATGGGAGAGCGACAAGCTCTGTCTTCAGGGATTCCCAGGGAATTCTTGTGGGATAGACTCAGGTCACACCCTCAGTGAGACAGATGCAGACACAAACACAAGTTATTAAGTTCTGAAATTTCAGTGCCCAACTAATTAGGTAGATAAGAAA